GAATAGGGTCAACAGTCAGATCCTGACGCTGATGGAGTTTGCATGTTTTCCTTGTGATGAACTAAGAACCTGTGTACTCTGTGCAGTATTTTTCGCAGTATTATTCAACCCCCAGCTACAGTACTTTGTACCAACACTTTATTCTTCTGCAGATTCTAAATGACTCAGCTCTATAGAAAATACACGCTTTATTTAAAGCTGTATAAAAATAAAAACAGTCCGATGAATATATTATTTTTCTCTCCTTTCATTCCAGAAATACTCCCTGAGACGGAGATATTTTTAGCACCAACTGTTTTCTTTTTTATGTATCCTTGATGCTGCAGAGTTTTTTGTACTCTCTGTTCTGTCCTGTCAGACTCTGATCTGATTGGGTTTTATTTCTGGAAGCTAAATTTAACCTGGTGGAGCAGAGGGTCACTGCAGGTTTAGATTTTCATGAAACTTTTATTTATCGAGGTAATATTCTAACGGAGGACTATTACCAGCAGTATTACCAGCAGTATTACCATATGTTTCAGACTTTTCTGAAGAGACTAATGAATTCAAAGCACCAAAGCAGCCTGTGGCAACAGCTAATGCTAACTCACGCTAGTTGTTTTTTAAACACTCTTTTTTAAGTGTCTTCGGTTTATTTTTAACCCTTTCTTTAACATTATCATCTACAACAGCAGTACTACAACAGCAGTACTAGAGAGCCATCAGTACCACAGAGTCATCAGTACTCTGTTCAGAGGTCAGTGTCAAACCATCACTTTTGTCTTTCCTTGTCTTTGTCTCTTTGACCCCCAGGCCTCTGGACTCTGGACCCTTTCATTCTACTGTACAGAGACTTTGTCGTCGTTCAATCAAATGCATCTTTACATGAATACGTACAAAGCTGCGCTCCTCGCCCCGAGCTGCTGCACTTCCTCGTCTCTCTGAAAGACTTCCTCTGCTGCAGGGTCACATGGACTCTACTCTGATAGAAACACTGGTACTGTACCACTCTACTGTACCACTGTACATTAATTTCCCCTTGGGATCAACAGAGTATCTATCTATCTATCACTGTACCAAGCACCAATCTTCAGCTAAATGCTAATTGGATAAGTGGATGTCCTTCTTCTGCATGATGATTGGACGGAGTGTTTGAGAAGCAGAATAGTTTTTGTTACTGACTTAGCATTAAAATTAAAAGGCCGCAATGGTGGCTCTGGGTCAGAGAGCAGAGTGTCCCCCTGGTGGAGGAGACGTGATGTATCTGCTGTAGCCAGAACAACCATATATAAGTAATGTCATGTGATCAGCACCGTCAGTCAAAAAGTCCTCAGACAGACAGTACCACTCCTGCAGATGTTAGTGACTTAAACCAGTTCAGACAGCTTTGACCAATTCAATCATCATATCTTTGTCCAGTCTTGAGGTATGCGACCTTTGACCTGCGATCAAATTTTACTGAAGATTCAATTTTTTAAATTTTTTTTCTGAAGAAAAGTGGATTTCTGTCCTCAGACCAGACAAAGATGCAGTTTGTGACCTGGTGTCAAAGGTCATCCAACGGACTGTGACCCTGGTCTATCCTACTGTGTGTTTTTGAGAACTTTTAAACTTCACTCTCACTGTGGCCATGGAGGAGAAAAAAAAACAAACGATTTACATTTGTCTTAGAACTTTTTAACTTCGCCTTGTTTTATCCAACGGCCTGTTTGGTGTTACCTTCATGTTCACTATGAGGTTCACTGTAGACTGGATACTAGTACTACTAGTTACTATTAGTAATTAGTGGTACAAAATAAATACAACAACAACAACCGTGGACCAAAGAAGTCAACTCTAACACTGTGACTCCCACTGGTTATAATGTGAACTCTTTTGTTATTAGGTTCTGCAAATAGTACTTAGTACTGATGCTCACCCAGCAGGTGTCCACGGAGACGGATGTCCACAGTCACTGTCAGCAG